TGATTCACTTGATACAAATTGTCATGAAAAAATTGAGAAAATGAATGCTCAGTTTTCTAATGTTGAATTTGTATGTCGAAAATCAAATGATGCTATATCAAGAGATCTGGTAAATAAATTATTATCTTTATTGGTTTATTTTTGAAAAAAAATGCTCGAACAGACATTCATATAATAAACTTATGAAATATCTTAAGAAAATAAAGTTATATAGTTTACGTATGATTTTCTAAAAAACGCCCCCCCAATCTTTGGACGCTCGGGACACCCCTGTTTATATGATCATAATTTTATTGTTGTTAAAATTATTATTCATTGTAAATATCAATGAATAATAATTGATTTTTCAATAAAATAATATATTGATTAAAGGGAAAAAAAATAAAATTGATAATAAGAAAAGTTATTTGAATAATTGTTCTTCTTTTTTTGTTTAATCTTAATTAATAAATTATATTTAGAGTAGTATCAAATGAAGGAAGTCAATGTTTAGCTAATACATGAAAATTTCAATTTGTTGAAACATCTCCCTTCGATATTCGACTAAGATATAGAAATAAATAAATTTAAAAATAAAAAAGAATGTTAAAGAAATCTTTGAAAAAAATATTAAAGCAATGAATTATAATTATTTAAATGAAAATGGGATAAATATTGTTCAAATGATAAAACAAAAACAATTAATTACATTAATTTATACTGATTGACAGAGACAGAAACGAAAAAAATAAAACAGAGGAATATTCGAAAAAATATTTTATTATTATTTTTTGTTTTATTTTATGTTGTGAAATAAAATAAGAAGTTGATGCACAGAGAAACAGTTTACTGTTATATTTTTTTATTTTCATATTAAATAGAACATTTTCCATTAATATCGATTATCTTTAATCAAGCACTTCTTCTTTTTTTGTTTTTTTTTGATATGTTCGATTATAAAAGTGTTAAACAATTTAAATGTCTAAAACATTTATTTCCGAATCGTAAAACAAAAACTGTTTGTTCGATTTAGATAAAAGAAGAAGACCAATTTAGAATGATATAAAATAATAAGTTTTGAAAATTATTAAGGACAAATAAAACCTATTGATGGTATTAATCAAAACAGTAACATTAAAAAAATGCTTTCATAATGGAATTTTCATTGATAATGATGATGATGATTCAAATAATGTTATTATTAAAGCTAAAAATATAATTGATTTAAATCTTTTATCTCAACTAGATTTTCATTTTCAAATTCCAAAAACAATCTCAATAACAATTAAAAGCTGCACCTATTGCTATAAATGGAAGAAAAACGAATAAACAAGTTAAGCAACATTCGTTTATCATTTATTTCTATCACCGGCCCGAATCAGACAAATATTGATCATTTAAATTAATATCAGAGACGAATTATAAAATGATATTGAACTCGAATCAGTTTAATGATCATTTCAATTTTACCCTCTTTTTAAAAATTTGACATCAACCAAAGAAGTTTGAAGGAAATATATATATATATTTGTTTGATATTGAATGTTAATAACTCCGATGAATATAATCATATTATTTGAATATTAAAAAAAAATAATTATATATGATTTATCATAAACTTATAATTAATTTAAATACAAAAAATAAAAAATAATCAAATGAAACAACAAATCGTTTTTACTTTGATTCATCCAATAGATCATTAATTGAAAATATATCTATTGTACATTCATTTTCACAAATTCAAGATACATACCGATGTGATCAAATGATACTTGAAGATAATAATAGACCCGTATTGATTATGAATAAATTCAATTATCTATACACTAAAAAAATTTTCATCTGAATATTATATGGTTATTCAATAGAAAGATGTATTGAATCAATTGGTGGCTGTACATGTGATATGTTATTGCATATATTAGGCGGTACACAAAGATTCTTAATTGAAAATCGTCATCAACTTTCAAAAATTGTTATTTTAACTTGTTTCATGGAAGTGCAATATGCATGTGCTATTTGTATTGAAGGAATTATAACATAAAAAAAAAACATTCGAATTCTATTCAACATTATTTTATTGAAAATAAACTTTTTCGAATAACCAATGTATCACGTACAATAAAATTTAATTAAATTATTTATAAATTAGTTCTTCCTCGATCATATGTTGATTTAATATTAAATCGTTTTGATGTTGCTAATTATTTTAATTCAGTTTTATTAGCAAAACCATGGTATTGTGATATAGTGCAATATTGTTCACGTCTTCAAACTTCAATTATTGATGTTGATCTACCAGTAGATAGTAGAGCTATTGAATGTAAATATTCATTAGTACCATTATTAATACTTGTTTCAATGTCATCAAAAAACATTGGAAGAATTTATCTTTGTGATCTTGGATTTAGACAAAAAGTTTTTCAACATTTGCATTGTCATTTGACAACAAATCATTTTTTGCTTTACATGATAATTAACTTATAAGAAAAATTTTTTTTTTGAAATATTATTTTAACAGAGAAATAACTGAAATTGATTAATCTGAAAATAGAACATCACACTAAAATATAATCATCAATATGAGTAAAATTAATTCGTCATCATATAGATATAAACCGGCGAGTCTAAGTTGTTTTTTTTCTTAATATCATTGTTAACATATTTCGATGTCATATAATAAATTATCTGAATAATCAGCTTGTATAACAACAGTATCGAAAGAAAAATTGATTATTTTCATAAAATTAATCTGGTCTTGAAAAGCAGAAAACTACTTTAATTGATAGTTACCATTTGAAATCATATTCACTTAACATACCAATCTCGATACAATTTTAAAATCATAAAAAATGCTTAGAACTAAAATTCTACTGAAGTCAAATAATGACCATGCTACTCTATTTAGATTTTTATTAATAAATAAAATAAAATTATTTCAATCTGAAATTTCGCTGATAGATCAGTCAAAGAATTTCATTTGAAAAAATTTTATCTTTCTCTAGATGTTTTTGACAAACAACCATTTATGAAAATTGCAATATATTTTAACATGTACTCGTTACTTTCCCTCTCGAGTCAAACCATCATGAAGAAAAACCTAAAATAATGCAAAAAAAAAACAAGAAAAAAGTAATCTTTTTTCCAGAAAATTCTTCCATATGTTAGACTAAGTGCCGAAACGTTAGATAAGTATAGAACTCAACAAGTGCTATCGAATGAACACCTTTTGAGTTCGATTCAATGCACGTGTCCATCTCTAATCAGTCAATCCAGATTCTGGTATTAGCTCTTGTGATTCATCCATGGCTTAGATCAAGTGTTGAAAATGGCAAACTAAGATAGAACTTGATGATCTCTCAAACAGATACATTTTGAGCTCAATTTAAATTTTACTTCGTTCTAGTTTGATAGGGCAATGTTCATGGAAAATTTACCCATTGGATGATAGTTTATTTTTAGTTTTGAGGCAGAATAGCATAGATTGTATTAGTAGTAATAGTTGGAGCTAGTGTTGAAATGAGCTTGCTAGTTACTTTGTTGGGTAAATGTGTGGTAACGGTGGAATGGAGGGTGCATGTCACATTTTCATTATTTGTTAAACGAGTTCTAACGTATTGCAACAATTTACTGGCTAAAATATGTAGACAGTTGAAATATTTTCATCATTGTTGTCCGTTAACAACTCAAATTTCATGCTTTTTTTTATGCCTGATTCTCTTAATAGATTTTCTTGTGCGACATTGATTTAAGTTATTTCTACTTTTGAAGCAATAAAACTTCTTTATATAAATAAATAAAAATGAAAATAGCAGTTCTTGGACTATCAAGGAAATTTTCTGTGTTTTATTTTTTTATTCAATGTTCTTTCTATATTATTGAAGAGAATATTCATCGGTAGAATATCTATAAATATACATTTCTCCAGACAAAAATGTAGTTTTATATACATATCTTTATAAACATATACATACAATTTATATTAAAAACGATGTTGAAAAACTCAAAGAAAATAAAACTAGAAATGTTCTTCAAATGATTTTGAAAAAAATTATGTTCGAAAACAATCTTTTTGGTTTATCATAATATTTTAAAAAGTCGTTATAAATGTATTTACAAAGAGCTCCATACAATTTTAGGATATAGGCTTGAATACTGTATGAATAAAATTTTAAAAAAAATTATATTTCTGAAAAACGATTTCCTTTTCATTTACTGAAACATTCTTAAAAATAATTCTGTATTTCGAAAGAAACCAACTTTTTTAATGCAAATTATTTTTATTTTTTCATGAAAACCCAAAAGCTCATGTGATCTCAGCTGTGATTATTGCAGTTACTTTAATACTTGTACTTATTCTACGTTATTTTTTTGCAAGAGAAAATCATTGACAAGAAAATTTAACATATAACATGTTTGAAATTGAAGCAACTGTTGAAGAACCATGCGATCAGCTAAATTTTATTTTATCTTCTAAAATGAATATTCTTATAAAACAAACTTTCTTCTTCTAGCATCTTGCTGTTCGATATATTTTATAAGACTAAATTGATTTTAAAAATTTATCGAAAATCCGACTCTATTTTTGTTCGAATAAATTAATAAGTCATAGATTTTAGTACATACGATAAAAATAAAATAAATTTATCATCAGTAACGATTTACTGATATGAAGCATCAAACAACATGACTTAACTTCAAACTAAAACAGAATCTATGTTATCTCAATCAATTTTCAAGATGAATAACAGTTTCGAATGTGTAGTGGCCAATTCAGATTGCATTATTTTTTTCTGTTTTTATAAATATTTTTCTTCTAATTAAATATTATCGACAAGAAAAAAGAAATACTGTAAAATCTACAAAATGATAATCTTTTTGTAAATCATAATAAACAAAACTCTATTTTATTTATAATTCATATGGAATAAATAAATCAAATTTATACTTTTTATTTTCCAAAAAAAAAGGAATTTCACCTAGGTGAGAGCGCTACTGTATATTTACATAAAAAAGGTATTGTTAAATGAAATGTCTCGTTTTTTTTATAGTAACGTTCTGGTTCGGATTAATCAGAGGAAAATTCTAATGTAGAAACTTTCTATCAAGAATACTGTTCATGTTTTGAAAATATTAATTTTGTAAAAATGAGTTTCACACTATGTGCATTCAGAGATATACATTTTAAAATTGATTAGTGTTTTCTGATTATTTCATTTTTTTTATTTAGATTCTATTTTATTACAAAACTTTCCAATGCTCACATGAAATCATGTATTCCTAATCAGTGACATTTATGAAATTCTATGATTAATTATATTGACCAATAGTATCATTCTCATTTGTCTCTTCAGTATCATCTCTAACAAAGAATAACGGTGTTTTCGTATCATTTCAAAATTATCTTATTGCAATTGAAGATATATGTTTCATTCTCATTTTAGTATTCAGTCTATTATATATAATTTTAATTACAGAAATATTTGAAATATTTATCAATTGATGTTTTATTCATAAGGAAACGATTTGTTCATGTGAATAAAGGAAATAATTTCGTTTTACGTATATTTTTATGCTGATAACATAAAAGCATTCATTTTTACGAGTGGATTAATCATAAATATTGTTTTTCGTATGAAAAATATCGAATTTTTTCTTAGTTAATCGAGAAATATACTAAAAAAAATCGAATTTTTATTTTGTCGGGTTCTAAAACCTACGGTAGTTGCGTTATTTTTTTATTATATAAATGCCAATAACCAAACATTATGTTTTCTTATACATTATTCTTGTATTGTAATTCATTCTCAAAGTATAGAAAAGTTTTCTTTGATGAAAAAATAAAAATCTTACATCTTCTATTACTTTCTTTTTAGATGAATCTCGAACAATTTTCTAGTGAATTATTACTCTACCTATTCGAATTTATTACTCCATTAGATTTATTTCGTACTTTTTACAATTTGAACTCTCACTTCAATGATCTTATTCTTATATATTTTCAAAATTATCGTTTTGATTTTCGTTCATTATCAAGACAAGAATTACAAATTATTTGTCAGAATTATATACCATTGATCTTTGACAAAGTTGTTTATCTTCATCTATTTGATAATGATGGTACACCGGGACACGCAACTGATTTTTTAAATTATAATATTAGTCTTGATCAATTTACACGTTTAAAAGCTTTAACATTATCTAGTATGGAATGGCATTCAAAAACTGATGAATTTTTTTCTTTTGGAATACAAAAACTTCATCATCTTACATATCTGAAACTGGATGATTGTTGTTTAATTAATGATGATGTTAAAAAGCAAGACAGATAATCGATCAAATTTGGAGTTTACCTAAATTAATCAGTTGTTATTGGAATGTAAAACCGTATTATGAGGACTATTTTTATTCTCCTACCGTTGTTTCATTGTCGTTACAAAATTTATATATTAAAAATCCTAAATGGAAATTCAAAAAATTAAGTCGTTTGATGATGAAAACACCTAATCTTCAATATTTTTCAACAGAATTCAGTCATTTTTATTATAATTTCTATAATGATAATAAAAATAAAACCAAAACATTATTAAGAAATTTACCATTGAAAAGACTTAAATTAACTTATCTTTGGTCACGAAACATATTGATAAATCTTTTGAATATAATGCCAAATTTATATTATTTAAATATTGATGGATGGAAACTTTATATAAGTGGATATGAGTGGAAAGATATTATTGTTAAATACTTACCTAATCTAAGAATATTTCGTTTAATTATATTATTGGATTTTAATAATAATAATATAGACAAGGAAAAACAAATCGATCAATTATTAGAAGAATATCGTAGTCCATTTTGGATTGAAGAACATCAATGGTTTATTGGATGTCTTTGGACAGAATCAATCAAGAACGAAATGTTTTGTTTGTATTCATTACCATACTCTTTTAGAAGTATTCCAGGAGGTGTCTCTCCATTAATTTATCGTACTAAATCGACTAGTCCATCAGAAATGAAGTTTGTTTATGATCATGTTCATGATCTATTATATGATTCTTTAGTATTTAAGAATACAGAATTTTCTCATGTACAATTTAATCATATAGAAGAACTTGAAATTGATTTACCATTTGATGATAAATTTTTTTCAATCTGCTTAAACTTAGATAATTTATTATCACTTAAATTATTACATTTGAATCATTATTCATCTCAGTTGCAATCTTTATTCGATAAAATGCCTCGTTTGTTATCATTAAAATTTCAATCATGGTCCACAAAAAAAATGCCTCCATTCGATATTACGTGTCCATCAGTTCGTTATCTTGATCTGCAAGGAATTGACACCACGCGTAATCGTCACTGTTTCAATATTCGACAATGTGAAAAGTTAAGCAAGTCACCTCTAGGTATTCAATGTCAAGAACTTCATATTGAAGTAACAGATATACCTAGTATACTTACACTTGTATATATGATGAAGAATCTTCGTACACTTTATATTCGATATTTTCCTGATTCACGAAGTCATCGACCTGATGTTGTTAAGATAATACGACACTATGCACCAACAACAACTATCGTTACACGAAAATATTATACATATATAGTCATTCGATTGTGAATATTTTTTTGTAATTTAATAAAAAACTATTGAAATATTGTATATTACTAATATTTATTAATTGTTTTTTTCTAAATCAACCGATTTGAAAGATCTGAAAGGAAATAGATTTTACAAATTGAATAAAAATTTTGCCAAGTAATCGAATGTAAGTATATGAATTATTCTATTTTATCTGTTAAAAACTCGAACGGTTCCGTAAGAACGTTCAATTTAATTTTCTTCAGTGCTTAACTGTAATAGATATTCTAGGATTCCTCAAAATTTAAACTAAAATTTTGTTTATAATATTAGAATTAAGTTTAGTTGGTACACTCTTGGAGACCATTGATGTTATTTGACTTAACTTGTATTCTATATGATTTAATTTCAATTAAAGTATTAATTTTGTTGAAGAATAAATAATAATATATAAGCTAAAATCTTAATTTCTGAATAAGAAGGGTGGGTGTGGGTGTGTGTGTGTGTGTGTGTGTGGGTGTGGATGTTGGGCGTGGGTGGGTGTGGGGTGTGGGTGGGTGTCGGTGTGGGTGTGGGTATCATAGTGTTTAAATACCCATGCCCCCATTCACCCACCCCCACCCACACCCACGCCCCATACACACACACCCACACCCCCTACACACACACACACCCACACCCCATACACACACACACACACCCACACCCCATACACGCACACGCACATCCACACCCCACACCCTCACACCCTAAATATTATATATAATTTATTTCGAGATTCAGCTAGTCGATACTGAGATTGGTCTAGGCGAATCCAAAATTAGCCGTAAAGATATTTCGACTTGATATTGGTCTAGACGAATCTAAGATTGGCCTAGTGATATTAAGTCCAATCTGAGATTGGACTGGTTTTCACTTATCGATCCTAGAATGACCTGAATTTACATCAGGCCAATCCGAGATTAGACGCCAACCTATATATAGTACTGGTCAAAAATAAAGGAACAACATATTTTTGATTTTTTTTATAACGCTAAGTATCTAACCAAAATCCAATTACTGATTTGAATAGCCAATGGAGTTTTCTATTACGGGCACCATATGCGAGGTTTCCACGAATAGGCTTTGGGGATAAATTTTCCAGGAAACTGAANGAAATGTCTTGGTGTATTTTACTGTAAGACGATCGTTCGAATTGATCAGAAAAAAATTCTATGGTGGAAGCTTTCTATCAAGAATACTCTTTGTCTTGAAAATATCAAATTCTAAAAATGAGTTTCATACTTAGTGCATTCATGGATCTTCATTTCAATAATGATTAGTGTTTTCCGATTATTTGACCTTTTTTTTTAGTTTGAGTTCTGTTTTATTATAAAATTCATAAGTACTTACACAAAGTCATGTATTCATAAGAGTGAGATTTATGAAACTTTATGATTAATGATGTTGACCAATAGCATTGATGTGCTTTGTGTCTTCAGTATCATCTCAAACAAAGAAAAATGTTGTTTTCCTACCATTTCAAAATTGCCTTTTTTATTGTAAATTGAAGATACACGTTTCATAAAAGCATTCTCAGTTCAATATTCAATCTATCTATACATAATTTCAACTATAGATACATTTAAAATATTTATCAATTAATGTTTTATACATAACTGAACGACTTATTCATGTGAATAAAGGAAATAACTTCGTTTTGCGTTTATTTTTATGCTGATGACATAGAAACATTCATTTTTACGAGTGGATTAATCATAAATATTGTTTTCTATATATGTAATAATGATTCTTTTTCTTTAATATTCAAGAACTATATTTTAAAAAAGTCGAATTATTTTTTTTATCAGTTTCTAAAAACTACGATAGTTACTTCATTTATAAATTATTCTTGTATTTTAATTCATTCTCAAAGCATACAAAAGTTTTCTGAGAAGAGGAAATAAAAATCTTATATCTACTATTACGTACTTTTTAGATGAATCTCAAACTATTTCCAAATGAATTATTACTCTATCTATTCGAATTTATTACTCCATTAGATTTATTTCGTACCTTTTACAATTTGAATTCTCATTTCAATGATCTTATTCTTACATATTTTCAAACTTATCGTTTTGACTTTCGTTCATTATCAAGACAAGAATTACAAATTATTTGTCAGAATTAAATACCATTGATCTTTGATAAAGTTATTTATCTTCATCTGTCCGATGATGATGGTACACCGGGACAAGCGGCTGATTTTTTTAATTATAATATTAGTCTAGATCAATTTCCATCATTAAAAGCTTTAACATTATTTCGTATGGAATGGCATTCTAAACTTGATGAATTTTTTTTCTTTTGGAATACAAAAACTTCATCATCTTACATATCTGAAACTGGATGATTGTCATTTCAATAAAGGCGATGTCAATAAAACAAGGCAGATAATAGATCAAATTTGGAGTCTACCTAAATTAATCTATTGTTATTGGAATGTAAGACCGAATGTTGATGACTATTTTTATCTTCCTACAGTTGTTTCATTATCATTGCAAAATTTATATATTAAAAATTCTAAATGGAAATTCAAAGAATTAACTCGTTTAATGATTAAAACACCTAATCTTCAATATTTTTCAACAGAATTCAGTTGTTTTACTTGTAGCTTCAATAATGATAATGAAAATAAAACAAAAACATCATTAAGAAATTTACCAATGAAAAAACTTAAATTAATTAATCTTTGGTCACGAAATATATTGATAAATCTTTTGCATATTATGCCAAATTTATATTATTTAAATATTAAAGGATGGACATTTTATATAAATGGATATGAATGGAAAGATATTATTGTTAAATACTTACCTAACCTAAGAACATTTCGTTTAACTATGTTATTAGAATTTAATAATAATATAAATAAAGAAAAACATATTGATCAATTATTAGAAGCATATCGTAGTCCATTCTGGATTGAAGAACATCAACGGTTTATTGAATGTCTTTGGATAGAATCTATCAATGAAAAATTGTTTTGTTTATATTCATTACCATACTCTTTTGAAAGTATTCCAGGAAGTGTTTCTCAGCCAAGTTATCGTGCTAAATTGGCCTGTCCGTCACAAATTAAGTTTTCTTATGATCATGTTCACAATCTACTATATGATTCGTCACTATTTACGAATACAGAATTTTCTCATATACAATTTAATCATATAAAAGATCTTAAAATTAAACTACCGTTCGATGATAAATTTTTTTCAATCATCTTAAACTTCGATTATTTATTATCACTTACATTATCACATTTAAATCATTATTCATCTCAGTTGCAATCTTTATTCGATAAAATTCCTCATTTGTTATCGTTAAAATTTCAATCATGGTCCACAAAAGACATGCCTCCATTCGATATTAAGTGTTCATCAGTTCGTTATCTTGATATACAAGGATTTGACGCTACGCATAATCGTCACTGTTTTAATATTCGACAATGTGAAAAGTAACGCAAGTCACCTCTAGGTATTCAATGTCAAGAACTTCGAATTGAAGTAACAAATATACCTAGTATACTTGAACTTGTATATATGATGAAGAATCTTCGTACACTTTATATTACATATTTTCCTGATTCACGAAGTCATCAACCTGATGTTGTTGACTTAATACGACACTTTGCACCACCAACAACCATCGTTACACGAAAATATTATGGATATATTACTATTCGATTGTAAATACTTTTTGAAATTCAATTAATCAAGCAATAAAGAAATGTTCTAGAATTTTTCAAAAGTTAAAATAAAACTTTGTTTATAATATACGAATTGAGTTTAGTTTGTACACTTTTGAAGATCATTCATGCTATTTTATTTAACTTGTATTTTAGATAGTTTAACTTCAATTAAAACATTATTTTTGTTGAGCAACAGACTTGATTAAGAGATTATGATATATATGAGCTAATATCTTGAAATCTATGTAAAAAGCATTTACTTTGTTTTAATCATCAAAATGATAAGAGTATTGGTGTTCATAGGAAAAGTATTTTTATTTTTTGTGCGGTACTCATGTATAGTTCCAAAGAAAGTAATTGTGAATATTCTGATTAACAAAAACTTAGTGATCTTACCTTATTGTTTTGTAACGTATACGTCAAGATCTTTATATGCTAGTCAATTAACCATACGGCTTGTCCAAGCGTAACGCTGTGACATTTTGGCAACCTTTTTTTTTGAAATATCTCGAGAACAATGATAGTTAGAAAGTCCATTCAAACGCCATTCGACGCAGCTCGACGTGTTCTATCTATACTATCAATTTGATGTTTTTTTGGTTGAACTCTATAGTTTACAGAAATGGTTTATAGTCACGTAACACTGTGACATAAAAGGACCCTGATTTTGCAACGCTCTGACTCATCTTTCAATTCCCTGCGAACGACGGTCTCCAATTAACGTAGGTCTGGAACCAACTTTGTAGAACATGAAACGAGCTTTCCAATGGTAAAAAAATTTTCCCCTAGCTCTCGTTATTCAATCAAAAGTTAAAAAAGAAAACGTAACGCTGTGGCACTCTTTTTTGTCGATCAATTTTGGATCACTTAACGTGCTCAGATCTATTTGATTTTTACAGCAATTAAACTTTTCCCAACCTATAATCTCTGTTCAAAAAATCAAGTAGCTGCGGCGAAACGGAAGCTCGTGATTAGTATGGGAAGTTGAAAACTCTACAACAATGTAAAATTTGTCTTCGGGAGTGAAAGTTAAAAATAAATACGCTATTTTGTAGAGAATTAAATTCTGTATCGAGTGGTATGACAGTCAGGATTTTTTTCAAGAAAGAATATTAAATTCGTAATCAGCGCAAAAAATGACATCTAATGATGTGTCGAGATCGGTCCATCTCGAAAAAAAATTTTTCAAAAACTTCATCACCGAAGTAGCGCGTTACGTGGACAAGCCGCATAGTAGTCACCAAGTCGGTGTTGAAAGATCATCTTTTTTAACAATAAGTATCGCTAGATCGAACTTTTCATATTTTCCCAATCGTCGAAGGACGAAGATATTGGGAGAGAATGAAAATAATTTGATTCTAGAAAATAAGATTATACGCATTCTCTGACTTTTTGGAAGACAATCACTAGAAAATGATTAGATAGGTTTCTCCATAACTGCGTTGAAAGGTTAAATATAAGTTTGGTCTCGTATTTGAAAGCTAGTTGACAGATGAACATTAAATCTCATGAAACTCTTTTCTGTAAATCCCATGTACCATTACTCTCTCATCAACTAAGCTCTCCGCATGGATGTTTGGGCATTTATATGATTTGAAAAACAATATAACTTCAACATAAGTCGCTAGAAAATATCCAAAGATATTTTACATATCAAAAATTTAAAAAAGAATCATTCTAATTGAGACAAACGGTATGGGTGTCGGTGGATATAGAGAGGATCAACACCCATACCTTCAAGTAAAATTACTACGACTGTTCCTAAAACAATATAGTTGTTGCTAGTCTAAGTTGAATTATGTGTTCATTCTTTTTTCTCTTTCATAAATGATAGAAGAATTTCAAATAGCAGGTAAAACAGCAAGACAAATATCCTATTTAGCATACTACGATTAGAAATTATGTCGGATACTGAAGAGTATCGTTTAATGCGGGACTTATTCGGTGATGAGTCTAATATTGTTTTGAAGATGGTAGATACTATTGATTTAGGTAAAAGTTTGGAAGGCTCAATAGTATCTGAAAACCAATGAAATCGTTAGGCAAACAAATATGCCCTCTGTAATGCATTTGTTGAAATGATAAAGTGATTGACATTTTCTAATGCCTTTTTGAATAATACGAAAAAGGCGAGAAAATTTTAAGGATGCTTCTGTTTCTTGCATGCTGTGTTCTTTTGTTACTAAGCATGTGATAAAATGAATGAAATGAAGGGAACATGAATATGGAATATTTTTCACTTTACTCATAGTAATCATATACTAATTGTATACAAATTTTCAAGACATTCAACATTTAATGGTATTTAGAAAGATCGATGTGAAATGAAAAGCTAAAAATTACTATTCAAGTAACATTTTGAAACAATATTAAAATCAACAGTCGTATACCCACGGAAAAATTCTTCCGAAAAAACCGCGGTAATCTGAAGTTAACCGCGATTTGTTCCGCATTTTGAAAAACCCGCCAAAGTCAGACCATTTATGCGGTCCTTGAAACCGGCGAAAACCGCCGTTTACAAATACCGCGGTGAGAACCGAGAAAACCACGGTTAGGCCTGCAAAAACTTAGCTCGGTCCGCGGCTTTCTTGGTTCTCACCGCGGTATTTGCAAACCGCGGTTTTCACCGGTTTCAAAAACCGCATAAAGGGTCTAACTTTCGCGGTCTATGAAACCGCGGTTTTTTCTTGAAAACTTTTTCCGTGGGTATTGTAAATTGTTGACATAGTTTGAGTTAAAGTATGATTAGTTAACTACGTGAAAGAAGAAGTTAGAAATACAGAAACCACAAAAGAAGTATATATGTCTTAATTAATAGCATGGAAAGAATCAAGCGATCTTGTAGTCAATGAAAAGGATGTTGAAAATGTTGTTCCTTAGTAATCATGTTGTATGCAAGTGTCGTATCACTATCATTGATATCCAAATGTATGCAACTTGGTGGAGTGTTATACACCGGGAAATAATTGGTGAGCCATTCCTACAGTTACAATTGACACTGCTAGCATCTGCTGATACATGCGTATTAAGAGTACCAGCGTTGATAATACTTCTTTCACCAAAATCAGGAAACCGACGAAGCATTTCAGACCAGACGTATGTAGCATTGCAACTATTGAATGTTAAAGTTCGCAATACTCGCAACCATGCAATGTTTCGGGCAACGTCTCTTGCATAACTGAATGAATCACTCATGAGACCATGATCAGGTAAAATTCGAGACGTCCGATTGTCAAGTTGTAGGCTACATACGGTTGATTGCATACTTCCTGCCCAGGCACAAAGAGCATCATCGCTACTTGGCAAAGTATTTCGGTCAAAGAAATTACTAACATATAAATGGAATCGAATGGTTATTGCATCTCCAGTGAAGAGTAAGTAAGCTCTTGATCTGGTTGAAATGCCCAACATTCCTGCATACGATGATTCTCCTTTCGCTATGACACTCATAGGACTCAGTCGTGCAGATGGATCATTGAAAGCGAGCTGTGTTCCTGGTGATGAGAGTATATGTAAAGTACGGGTATAGTTCAGTGCACATTGTGCAGGTGAATATACGCCATTCGAACAAACAAAATCTACCCACCGAGCAGCTTCTCTAGCGACTTGTTGAGTGATCACATAGATAGGTGTTGTTGGGTAAGTCTTCTGTATGAGAGCAATACTACCCATATGATCTGGATGTCCATGTGTAATGAATACAAATTTAGGTGGTTTGGTAGTTGATCCAACTTGTTGTTGGTAGACTGAAATCAATTGTGAAGTAGTGCTATTAGTAGACCCAGAATCAACGAAAAAACCTTCGTAAAATATTCTAGAAGTTTTGACATAGGCATTGGAAGATTCACTTGGCGCAGCAGCATCTTGAACTAGTGTAACAGTTAAAGTATCGACATTGATACTTGAGATACTACTGAAATGTTAATAGAATATGCTATTTGGTTTCATGATGAAAAGTAAATGACTATATGATTGAGACTGCAATAATAAATCAGATAGGTTAGAAGTTTACATCAATTGGCTTTTGTTACTATTTCATGACGACTTATTGTTCGGGTCTATTTTGTTTTCCATTCGAGTGAGCAATAACTAAAATAGTAACAATGCCATCAAGATGTGCATTTTAAATTGCAATATGAACATTTAACATGATGTCGGATGGCATCTTTTTATCAAGTCGTCTAATTTTGGTTCTTTTAATCAAAAAATCAATGCGGAATGTGTAGACATCAAAATTATCCCAACAAGCTGTTTTCCCTAAAACTTGATTTCTACTGGTTACTGCTCAATCAATAGGATTTGGAGGCAAATGGAGCTCATAGGTAAAGTTCTCTGCCTCCAAAAACCCTAAGTATCATTGCCGTGATCAGAAGATGGAGCTTTAGTTTTCGATCGATAAGAGCGCGGACAAATGCAGAGCCATTTTTCATTTAAATATATTTGCAATTGGTGACTTAATCTTCTTGTTTCTTAATGGTTTATACACCATTTTGTAGCCTTAAAAATTCTCTATCGAACGGTATATAAAAGTTGGGGTTTTGTTTGATTATGAGAGAAAAAGGGCTTTTATGAAAACCTGGATAGGTCACTGTTCATATAGAAACGCATGAGAAAAAATGACATTTTTCGTGATAACTCAGCAATATCTGAACGAATCCCTTTCATCTTCAAACTCGACCAAGATATTGACGAGACCATTGTATGTCCAGATTTGATCACAATCGGACTATCGTTTTGAAGAGTTATCATGTAAACGGTCGGACGAACACACTGATGGATTGTATAGTGTACTCATTTTTAAGTACACAATTGCAATGAAAATCTCTCGAACAAGCACAGTAGAAGGTTGAGAATCTTCTTCGCGAGTCTGTTTAAATTTGGCTTGCTTTTGAAAAGTCATATACATTTTGAGAGAGCAACATTCATTGTATCTTTCTATGAGAAAAACTCAACTTCAATTATTTTTCAACAAGAGTGACTTGTCTGACGGAGAACTCTTAA